CTTAACACTCAATGCATTTCTTTTTGGTCAAAAAGTTTTTCCTTTGAATTATTATCAATAATGTAATTGAATTACAGAAATACAGTTTCAATAGAGTGTTAAGTATTAAGATATCATAGTCTATAATAGTGTTATATAACGACCATTTCTTTCATGCCTTTTTATTTAATCCAATTTCTGTCAAAATAAGGGATTAATATTCTATGATTTAAGGATTTACTTTATTTTCAAAAAAGTTTTTTACACTCATTTTAATTCAGAGCTAAAGGATTATAATTAAGTTTATATAACTATTTTGAGATAATATTATTAGTAACGATTTTTTGTTGATTTATTTAAGTTACTTAATAGATATTTAATTAATTAATGAGATTAACTATTTATCATATTTTAGTCGTCAGAGGATTCATGATAGCACATGACGAGAGTTTATACAACCAAATGGTTTATGGCATCAGATATCTCGATATGAGAGTCGGTTACCATAACGTGAGCGAAACTGATGACAAACTATGGATAGTTCACGGCTTGTTCCGCACGGATCACACCCTCCGGTCGGCCGCCGAACAGGTGAGAGATTTTCTCAAAGCGGCGCCAAAAGAGATCGTTATCTTTGATTTTCATCGATTTGTCACCGGTTTTAATGACGAGAAAAACGCTGACATTCTTAGAATGAGATACAAAGAGTTTTTCGATGTCGTCGAGAGTGAACTCAAGGATCTGATGATACCTTTCAGGTATTGTTACAAACTATCAAATTTTTCTATTATTATTATTTATAGTTAAGATTTGGATTTTCAAGGTAAGTAATCGGACACAAATGTACTGATTTTTCCACAATTCTTACAAATTGAAACCATATCTAAGTTATGAAAAGAAAAAAAATTGCTGAAAAACTAACCCAATGTTTGCTGTGTTTGAAGTGTCGGATATGGCGTTACTGTCAACGAATTGATCGCTAAAAATAAGAGAGTTTTGATCGGCTTTGATATGAATGCGAGAAAATACTTATTCAATGAGTTCTTGTGGCCTAACGTTCGCCAGCAGTGGTCACAGAAGGATGAGTTGCAGCCATTGGTTCAGTACTTTGAGAACACGTTATGTCAGGACAACAAGAATACGTTGCGGTCGGCGATGGCTGAGCTCACGCCTACCATTGAGGGGGTTATACAACAAAAATACAAGAGCTTACGATCGTTGGCTCAACAGACAAACACCAAATACGTGGAGTGGTTCAGCGATCGGTGGCCTAAATGTACGAATATTATTGCCTCCGACTTCTTCTTGAGCTCCAATGTTGTCGACATTGCCTTAAGTGTTAATCACAGGAATAATGTTCAACAGAAACCCTTTAAACGATTTCATAAGTTTTATTAAACATTTCATATATTTTTTTGATACTCATATGAAATGAAGACAATCTAATGACAATTTGTTGTATTTTTCAAATATTTGTTAATTTAATATCGAATTAAATCGGATTAAATCAAAAATAAATAATATAAATAGAAAAATTTGATAGTTTGTAACAATACCTGAAAGGTATCATCAGATCCTTGAGTTCACTCTCGACGACATCGAAAAACTCTTTGTATCTCATTCTAAGAATGTCAGCGTTTTTCTCGTCATTAAAACCGGTGACAAATCGATGAAAATCAAAGATAACGATCTCTTTTGGCGCCGCTTTGAGAAAATCTCTCACCTGTTCGGCGGCCGACCGGAGGGTGTGATCCGTGCGGAACAAGCCGTGAACTATCCATAGTTTGTCATCAGTTTCGCTCACGTTATGGTAACCGACTCTCATATCGAGATATCTGATGCCATAAACCATTTGGTTGTATAAACTCTCGTCATGTGCTATCATGAATCCTCTGACGACTAAAATATGATAAATAGTTAATCTCATTAATTAATTAAATATATATTAAGTAACTTAAATAAATCAACAAAAAATCGTTACTAATAATATTATCTCAAAATAGTTATATAAACTTAATTATAATCCTTTAGCTCTGAATTAAAATGAGTGTAAAAAACTTTTTTGAAAATAAAGTAAATCCTTAAATCATAGAATATTAATCCCTTATTTTGACAGAAATTGGATTAAATAAAAAGGCATGAAAGAAATGGTCGTTATATAACACTATTATAGACTATGATATCTTAATACTTAACACTCTATTGAAACTGTATTTCTGTAATTCAATTACATTATTGATAATAATTCAAAGGAAAAACTTTTTGACCAAAAAGAAATGCATTGAGTGTTAAGTCTTACTATCGCCAACAGATTTTGGTCCCCATTTTTCATAGGCTCCGGAATCATGAGTGCCCGGAATCATAAGCGATGGCAATGTTTTGTCACCAATTATTGCCAAATTGTTTTCCATCCAAAACGGGTTATTTTTAATGCAATTCTTTGCAAATACGATATCGTTGTGAATATACCCGATATAATAGCCCAGACATTGTTGGGTGAGTTTACCCGTCGCGAAATTTCGATACGGGAACTGTATATCAGTCCTATTTGTTTAATTATTAATTGTTAATATTGTATTTATTTAGTCAACAGTGCATAAATTTAGTTTGGTAAATTAGCTAAAAGTAAATCATTATATTATATACTGTATAAGTTTTTATAATATAGTAGACATCCAATTGATATATTAGTATATTGTGTACTATAAAAACTAATTAATTAAATTTGTCTTTAATTAATTAAATCAAAATTTTTATTTATAAATTACTAATACCTAATTACATAAATTAATTAAAACCCCTAAACGCTAATTAATATTATTTAATATGTTATTCTACAAATATAAATTTAGACTTCTTTATATTTTTATTAAACAAATTCATTAATTTTTCAAATAATAAATAAAATAATTTTAGTGGATAATATTATAATAATATAAATAAACGTCATAATTAACTTATATTACAGAATACATACAAGTATAATATTAATAATTAATATTCAGGAATAATATTATATTTAANGAGAGAGAGAGAGAGAGAGAGAGAGAGAGAGAGAGAGAGAAATGTGCGAATTTTCTCATTTAATTTTCATTTTATCGCATTATGTCTTACAGTATAAATATTTATGTTTCTAATAAGTTATTTCATCTTTAGTTCATTTACACTCGCGTTAAAGACTCTTGTTTTTTGTCACTAATTTTTTATGTTTTCAATCTAAACATTTGTTTTATTATAAATGAAGAAAGATTTTATCGATTTCTAACGCAATAATTAACCAAAACATTAATTAAATAATTCGTGTCTTCTCTCGTCGATTACTATATCTCTTATAAACTGAGAATTAATACGAGTTCTCACTCTTGTGTTTCAAAGGCAACGGCAAAAGCAACGCCTGAATAATGAATTTTTATCCTTTGCTTCTATTGTTTCGGTTAATGTTTTTTGGAGACAATTTTGTTTCAAGTAATTTAATCCTCAAAATAATGCTTTTAATTGATTTAAGTCTTATTCAGACATTTTGTAATATAATCTAAGGTCAGGTTCAGACACAGGTCTGGCTTACAGTGAGTCCGTTAGCAGACAAGACATCTCAGAGACTAATTGAGATTAATTGGAGAAATGCCCCCAAAACTAACCAAAACGATTGGATCGGAATATTCACATCCGACCCAATCGATAGCACCGGTGCTATCAGGAAGCTCGTGGTCGATGATAGGCTTAATGGCTATAATGTGTGAGTATATCATTATCGTATTTCATTTAATGTATTATTTAAATATAATATTATTCCTGAATATTAATTATTAATATTATACTTGTATGTATTCTGTAATATAAGTTAATTATGACGTTTATTTATATTATTATAATATTATCCACTAAAATTATTTTATTTATTATTTGAAAAATTAATGAATTTGTTTAATAAAAATATAAAGAAGTCTAAATTTATATTTGTAGAATAACATATTAAATAATATTAATTAGCGTTTAGGGGTTTTAATTAATTTATGTAATTAGGTATTAGTAATTTATAAATAAAAATTTTGATTTAATTAATTAAAGACAAATTTAATTAATTAGTTTTTATAGTACACAATATACTAATATATCAATTGGATGTCTACTATATTATAAAAACTTATACAGTATATAATATAATGATTTACTTTTAGCTAATTTACCAAACTAAATTTATGCACTGTTGACTAAATAAATACAATATTAACAATTAATAATTAAACAAATAGGACTGATATACAGTTCCCGTATCGAAATTTCGCGACGGGTAAACTCACCCAACAATGTCTGGGCTATTATATCGGGTATATTCACAACGATATCGTATTTGCAAAGAATTGCATTAAAAATAACCCGTTTTGGATGGAAAACAATTTGGCAATAATTGGTGACAAAACATTGCCATCGCTTATGATTCCGGGCACTCATGATTCCGGAGCCTATGAAAAATGGGGACCAAAATCTGTTGGCGATAGTAAGGCTTAACACTCAATGCATTTCTTTTTGGTCAAAAAGTTTTTCCTTTGAATTATTATCAATAATGTAATTGAATTACAGAAATACAGTTTCAATAGAGTGTTAAGTATTAAGATATCATAGTCTATAATAGTGTTATATAACGACCATTTCTTTCATGCCTTTTTATTTAATCCAATTTCTGTCANTTCAGCAATTTTTTTTCTTTTCATAACTTAGATATGGTTTCAATTTGTAAGAATTGTGGAAAAATCAGTACATTTGTGTCCGATTACTTACCTTGAAAATCCAAATCTTAACTATAAATAATAATAATAGAAAAATTTGATAGTTTGTAACAATACCTGAAAGGTATCATCAGATCCTTGAGTTCACTCTCGACGACATCGAAAAACTCTTTGTATCTCATTCTAAGAATGTCAGCGTTTTTCTCGTCATTAAAACCGGTGACAAATCGATGAAAATCAAAGATAACGATCTCTTTTGGCGCCGCTTTGAGAAAATCTCTCACCTGTTCGGCGGCCGACCGGAGGGTGTGATCCGTGCGGAACAAGCCGTGAACTATCCATAGTTTGTCATCAGTTTCGCTCACGTTATGGTAACCGACTCTCATATCGAGATATCTGATGCCATAAACCATTTGGTTGTATAAACTCTCGTCATGTGCTATCATGAATCCTCTGACGACTAAAATATGATAAATAGTTAATCTCATTAATTAATTAAATATATATTAAGTAACTTAAATAAATCAACAAAAAATCGTTACTAATAATATTATCTCAAAATAGTTATATAAACTTAATTATAATCCTTTAGCTCTGAATTAAAATGAGTGTAAAAAACTTTTTTGAAAATAAAGTAAATCCTTAAATCATAGAATATTAATCCCTTATTTTGACAGAAATTGGATTAAATAAAAAGGCATGAAAGAAATGGTCGTTATATAACACTATTATAGACTATGATATCTTAATACTTAACACTCTATTGAAACTGTATTTCTGTAATTCAATTACATTATTGATAATAATTCAAAGGAAAAACTTTTTGACCAAAAAGAAATGCATTGAGTGTTAAGTCTTACTATCGCCAACAGATTTTGGTCCCCATTTTTCATAGGCTCCGGAATCATGAGTGCCCGGAATCATAAGCGATGGCAATGTTTTGTCACCAATTATTGCCAAATTGTTTTCCATCCAAAACGGATTATTTTTAATACAATTCTTTGCAAATACGATATCGTTGTGAATATACGCGATATAATAGCCCAGACATTGTTGGGTGAGTTTACCCGTTGCGAAATTCCGATACGGGAACTGTATATCAGTCCTATTTGTTTAATTATTAATTGCTAATATTGTATTTATTGATATTTAGTCAACAGTGCATAAATTTAGTTTGGTAAATTAGCTAAAAGTAAATCATTATATTATATACTGTATAAGTTTTTATAGTATAGTAGACATCCAATGGATATATTAGTATATTGTGTACTATAAAAACTAATTAATTAATTTTGTCTCTAATTAATTAAATCAAAATTTTTATTTATAAATTACTAATATCTAATTACATAAATTACTTAAAACCCCTAAACGCTAATTAATATTATTTAATATATTATTCTACAAATATAAATTTAGACTTCTTTATATTTTTATTAAACAAATTCATTAATTTTTCAAAGAATAAATAAAATAATTTTTGTAAATAATATTATAATAATATAAATAAACGTCATAATTAACTTATATTACAGATAAAATATTAATAATAATATTCAGGAATAATATTTAAATAATAGATTAATTGAAATACAATAATGATATACTCACACATTATAGCCATTAAGCCTATCATCGACCATAAGCTTCCTAATAGCACCGGTGCTATCGATTGGGTCGGACGTGAATATTCCGATCCAATCGTTTTGGTTAGTTTTGGGGGCATTTCTCCAATTAATCTCAATTAGTCTCTGAGATGTCTTGTCTGCTAACGGACTCACTGTAAGCCAGACCTGTGTCTGAACCTGAC